ATTGGCTGACGCGTAAAAAGATGCCCCTCCCGTTTTCCGGGGTCATCTCAGAAAGGGGGGCGTGCCGGGGACTTTGATAACAATTTTAATAGGGAAATCCGCCGCGCATGACCGTAATTTTATGATTTTTAGGATCCTTAGGGCCTGTAGATTGAGTTACCGCCATAAATAGACCATCGCAGAACGCTCCGGAGGGCCCCTTTGAAGGCCGACGACCAGACTCGAGATTTTGCAAGGCAGAAGATGCTCCCCACCCAGGGGGAGGAGGAAAGGGGCGACGGTGGACAGGGTCAAAGGGGGGAAAGAAGGAAGTGAGGAAAAAGTGGAAAGCGCGAACTGGTCGTCGGTCTTTAAAAGACTTTTCCAGCGCTTATCACCCAGGCGCAAAATGCTGAGCCAGTGGACTGTGTTCGCTAACGAGGCGTCTCATATTTTGTGATAGAGAGACTGCGCACGGCTTTTAGACTTTGTTATACTCTGACGTCGAGCGCAGTAGTAAACGCGGCGTAGCGTAGCGTACAGGGGTACTGATTCGTCGCAGATATCGACTTCCTGTTCACACGGTAAGAATAAAGACACATAAAATATAGGAGGGACAGACACAAAGAGTTCCTTCAACGAGCAACTATATTTAAATGATGCCCATTACACTATGATCAACCACTTTGGTCACAGAGAAAATGAAGTGAAGACGAAAATTCTAGAAGATGCTAGAAAGAGGTAAAAGTAAAGATAGCTGATTTTGATGTAATGGGCATCATTTAAATGTAGTTGCTCGTTGAAAGAAGTGTGTGTGTCTGTCCCTCGTATGTTTTCTGTTTTTTTATAATTTCCGTGTGAACTGTACTCCATCCAACGCGCTCTGCTTCGTGTATCAAGTTCCTGCTCGCCGGCCCATCAAACGCGCGCGTTCTGCAGTACGCTGCGTCCGCTTCGCTTAGCTTCGGAGTGTGATAAAGCCTTTAGAATGCATTTCACAGCCGAGTAGATGAAGATGGCAGCGACCAGAGGACGATTATTGTAAATATATCTACGCCTCTAACTACTAGTTACAAAGCAGTACTGTAAGCGTTACCAAAAAAAAAAAAGTAAAGATATATGTGACTCGTTACTTGCAAGAAAAAGAAACGCGTTACCGGCCTACGTTACCTCAAAATAAAAGTGTCGCGTAACCCTCACAAATAAAAATTAAACGTTACTTTCTACAAATGAACGGCAAGGCGTTTTACTTTTTTTTTTTTTTTTGTCGACAGCATTTTTTGGCACTGACACAAAGGTTATGGGAGTTGGAGCTTTTGTTAAAGTGGGAGCATTTGCGTAGGGAAAAGACAAGCAAAATTGTGAAGGTAGGTCGAATGTAGTGAAGTAATTAATGACCTGGCGGCTGTACTTTGATTCAGCGTAAGTTCAGACGCCGCCGACGCTACGAGCTAGGGTTTACTATGGTTGATCGAATGCCATTTCATCGAAGCACGTTTTAGAGAACGGGCACGTTTTATTGAAGCACTGTTTAGAGAAAGCAGAGCCTCAGTTTAGAGAAACTCCGTTTATCGAAAAAGGGAGGCTTTAAAAAAAAAGGCTTTCCAGCTTATCGCGTGTATCACTGGTGCGCGCGTTAACCCAAGCTCCGCGCTGCGCTCCCGCCGCTTCACGGCATCAATCTGCGGCGGCTCATTACAAAAATGTTAACTCACCTGACTTACCCGTACACGCCGCTTCGCGGCGGCCGAATTCGCTAAAAGGCGGCTCATCGCCATTTTTTATAAACTGGGTTCTCTATAAAGGGATTCGATAAACTAGGGTCAGTAAAAGGGCGTTCACGAAAACGAGCTTCTCGAAACCACAGGCCTCCGACGAACTAACGTTACAAATCAAGCAGAGTTCGAAGCGCAACTCAGTGGTCCTTTGTTTTTGATTGGTTCAGCGATGCCAGGACGCGTACAGCAGCACAAAGAACACCGTGCTGGAGCCCTTTTGAATTTGTCTGATTCGTCCCATCAGCTCTCTAGCTATGGTGCCTGGAACGCGTCTTTCAACTGGTGTGCTTACCGGGTTTAAAACAGGGGTTCCTCAATTCCCGCCTGACGGCGTCATAGAAGTGTCATGCTGTCGCCGGTCGCAATCCTAGCGGTGTCCCAACAGCGGAGGTGTATGTGGCAGACGCCTGTTCACCTGCAGGTCTCTCTCCAATGCGACAGTCCATGGAAGCTTCGGCAGCCAGAAGTTGAAACGCCGGGACGACAGCGACACTCGCGTTCGCTCGTGATTTTTGCCAGCATTTTTACGACCAACCGCCAGGATCGCGACGTCCGGCAGCATGACACTCTGGCTTCTGTGACGTCATTTCTCGCCACTTGGGGACCACTTTTGATGTATGGGCGTTATAGGACGCTAAACACACCAGTCGGAGACACGCTCCAGGCACCACACTATAGCGTCGGCTTCGTCTGGACCAGGGTGTAAGATAGACAGGTGGGGAAACGAGAGCCAAATGAGTGACCGCATTGTGTCCCCCTCGGTTTTCTCTTTTTCTGTGGCGCCATCTATGTGAAGCACCGCCAACTCTCACTCTGGGTGGGCGACCGATGGCAACCGGCTAAACTGACGGAGATGGTTTTTTGTGAATTTTTATTGAAAGACTGTCGTGCTCTCGGTTTCTTTTGCGCAGTCTCCCATAGAGTTCCGCGCAAATTCCGATTCCGATTTTTTCCTCTCGCCGCAGCGCCATCTGTCGCAAGTCGGGGGTACCCGCAAGCAGACGAGTACACAATCCGGTCACGGCGCTGCGGTAGGCTTCTATGGGCCGTTTCCCCACCTGTCTATCTTACACCCTGGTCTGGACGTAATATGAAACGAAGGATACCGTCTGGACGTAAAATGAAACGAAGTCTAAAAATTACGAAAAAAATCTAAGTACACTTTTCTTAGGTCATGGTAAGAATGCGTAACGAGTATCGTAACTACGTTACCCGTTACTCTAAATAAGTAACGTAAGTACGTTACCCGTTATTATTTTGAAAATGGAACGAATATGATACTACGTCACTGAAAAAAGTAACGCGCTAGCGGTGAGGCCGCTACATGTTTCGCGTTTCCACCAACACTGCTACGACATCACGTTGTTAGTAAACACGTCAATAATAGCCCAACACGAGAATTTTGTTAAACGAAGTTTTAGAACGCGGTTGGCATTCCAAAAACAAACGGCGAATAAATCAGGAAAGCTAACCTAAAATTCAACGCCCCCCCACCCCCGCCCGTTTGATAAGGCCCTGGGCAACCGCCCAAGTCACTCACCCCCAGAGCGGGCCCGGCTTACATCATATAATAAACAAAAAATAAAGGTGACAAGTACCAGAGTTAATTCAGCTTGTCACCTCAGAATGAACGTGCGCCTGACGTTTCGTTTGCTTTTCTTTTCCGCTCTTCTGTCGTTCTCTTCCTCGTTCTTTTTCTCCGAAGCACCGCTGTGAACGCTTACAATTTATTGAGTTTTTTCTTCATCTGTACTCTATTGGATTATACCCTAATTATGACGACTGACCGTCGTAATGATGTCTCTTTACGTACGTGATATATATAGGGTATTTCACGAAAGTTGGAAAAATTCGATATTGGAAAAACTACGCGTCGCAACAAAAAGGCTTGTGTCGTTTTGGTCCTGGGTCAGGGGCCTATTTAGGAAAATGATTAAAGTCCCGGATAATTAGTGTGTTAATTATTTTCCCGTAATTAACTTTTTTAATATTGTGTTCAAAGGCATGGTTTTAATTAGAATACTGCTCAGGTTCATCAAAAAACACTAAATCAACAAATTGCAGAACGTTAGAAGGCACGTGCAGCATTTTAAGGCTTTGTAAAAAACCACACAAATTCGACTGGTTTTTAAGTTTCGGTTTGCAATCGGAACGCGTCTCAGCCCTGGCGGCACCGCGCCCCGTAGTGAAATAGTGCAACCAATATCTGCTGTGCTGTCCTCGCGCAACGCAGCACAGGCTGTTTGCACTATTTCTCTACGCGGCGCAGTGCCGTCGGGGCCGAGATGCACTCCGATAACAAACCGAAACTTAAAAACGAGTCGAGTCTCTGCGGTTTTTCAAAAAGCCGTAAAATGCTTCGCGTGCCTTCTATCGTTCTGCAATTTGTTGATGTAAAGTTGTTCGATGATGCTGAGCAATGTTCGAATTGAAACCATGCCCTCAGACACAATATTAAAATAGTCAATTAGGCAAAAATAATTAACAATCTAATAATCCTGAACTTGAATTATTTTAATAAATTGGCCCCTGGCTCAGCCCCAAATCGACATAAGCCTTTTTTTTTTTTTTGTTGCGACGCGTAGTTTTGTACTATCGAATATGTCCACTTTCCGTGAAACACCCTGTATATATATTTTTTTTTCTTTGTTTCTAAGATTGTGGACACCCGGGCGAAAGTTTAAGCGTCGATCGGAAAATCTTGTCTAGAAAAGACTGTCGTGGGATGGGTAGGGCTATAAAAACGGTATTTTGGACGCAAAATGAGAATAAATAATAGGAAACGTTTGCAATGTATCGCTAGATCATACTTGAAGAGTGAATTTGCCCTGAATATTTTTTGGTTTGTTTTGTTCAATAGAATGAATTGCCACTTTTGTAGACGTTTATTGAGTTTGTCATGCATACAGGTTGCTCAATAAAGAAAATAAATATGTAAAGAAAAAAAAAAACTCCCGAAAATTTCTTCTAAAATATATAGGATTAAAAGAGGTTGTTTGTTTTTATTGTTGAAAATTAACTTATTCTCATGTTCAAATTCGCTTAGTGAGGATGAAAAAAATTACAAGAAATAAATATGAACGCTCAAAAGGTGCGCATGAAGTACAGACTTCTCAAACATTTATGAACGACTACGTCGTTCAGATCGTCACAAACATCAGCATTCGTCTAATTGAAGTTCGGAAAGTGGAAATATGATGATGAAGGTGATACGCGCATGGAGACAAATTTACGCAAACTTACGCAGAAACACAGGTAGACGCTGATATACACACACAAGCAAAGATACAAACATGCACAAAAAATACGTACACCCACAAAACGGAAGCTGCAAATCGTGCGAAAACACCCATCCATATTTCAATGGAAATGCACATACGTGCACTCAGGGAGGCTCACACAAACATACATACGCGAATACAGACGAGAACATAGACCCAGGGCCACGTGAACACACAGAATACCAGATTATCCAGAGAAAAGCACAACTAAAAACACATACACACCCACACGGCCACAAACATGCCGCCGCAGACACAAACACACAAACACGTAGTCAAAAATTCGCATGCAGCAACAGAAATGTACGCTATCAAAGTAGCGCACACCCCTGCGCCCGTACACACACACGCACAACAAGCACCCATACATTTCTGCATCTATAGTATAATCTGAAAGCTACGAATATAATCCAGAAAGAAATATGTGTGAAATTTGTGGATCAAGGATTAAGATTTCTTTTCTCATCCCTTGGGTCCGTGCAAAAAAACAATAAACAAAGCAAATAGCTTACGTTTTCGCTACTGTCGAGTTCTGCGAAATCTGGCACATAAAAGTGTTCGGAACCTGTAAATTGGTTCTAATTTCTCCGAGCACGTTTGCTTTGGGTAATAACCAAAACGCTTGCCGAATATTCGACAATAACAACAAAAACCTGTTGCCAGTTGGTTCTCTACGTCTTGTGTATATTCGTTCTCTTTCTGTTCCTTTTTTACACTTCGCCTCTTCATTTTCGGATTATCGTTTGCTATTTTTTCTCGAGGCTTAGCTTGGTCTTGAGTCGTTGTATACGCTCTATTAATTCCTCTAATTTAACTGTGCCGACTGTTGCTGATGCGCTCTTACATGCGTCGGTTTAGCCGACGCTTTGCAATCCGATTTCCCCGACCTGTAGTACAAGCGAGGCGAATACACTTTTAGCCTTTATTATCGCAGTTTTCATTCATAACGTTGTTTATTCATTCAAGATTACGCTTTGGTTAGACGTTAGTCGGACACTTTAACGTCCATCCCGGGGTAGTGATTACACGAAAGGACGCCGGTACCACTACAATCCAGATGCAGAAGAGCAGGGATAAGCACTGAATTCAGGATCTCCTGGGTTCCGCAGCTCGAACTTTCTCTTCACTTGCTTCGACGCTCCTCTGCAAGTTGAACGAGTTGAGTGAAAGGTTCATCTGCCATTAGCAATACTGGAATAGAGAGGCTCGTGTTGAGTGTGCACGTCATTGTGAAGGAAATGTGGGGAAGAAGGATGCTGTTTCTGTCACTCCGTTCAGCCTCAGACGTGTCAGTGCGGATCGGGTACTGCGTCCTGACCTCTGGCACGGCGAAGTTCGGGCAGCTGTCGTTCGGACGCGCTTGGATGATTTCTAATTCGACTGTTTCTGGTCCCAAGTCACGCTCGATGGAGTGCCGTTTCCTACATCGTCTATGGGCCGTATATTATGTGTCACCTCACGCTGACAATCGAGCGGCCCGATGTAGTAGAGTGGTCCGGATGCTTCTTACCTTCATTATTAGTGCGTCCATGTTCTCGTTCGAGTCGTTGTTACTTGTGCAAGCTCCTGAAACTTTGCTTGGTTCTCTTAGCATAGGAAGTGTACCTGTGGTTGATAAGCAGTCTTGAACTTTTTGGAGCGTTAGAAAACGAACCTATTTTTCTTTATTTTTTTGTAAAAAAAGCTTTGCCTGTTTCCGAACATTGTATATGTTTGTTTTCAAGGACAAAGGTATATTTCTATTAAAAAAAGAAAAAAAAAGGAATGAGGTAACTGACATTTCTTCTAAAACATTTGGTATGATCTAACTTGGGAAATAACCTAGCGTTGATTTGATTTGAGAAGAGATAAACGTTCATTTGCTTTTTCACATGTTAACAAAAACATTTGGCCTTACAAGTTCAAAGGTGGAGGACCTTCGATTGCCATTGTGGTTTTCCGCTGCTCGCGGTGTTACGGCCACTTGAAGAGTACATCGGATCCAGCCGTCTGGTAAAAAGGAGGTTAGGGGAAACACGTAAGCTGCTACACATGTAAATAAAATTGTGACATTTCATTGCTTGGTTGATAAACCGCTGGTATTTTACGCCATATACTTTTTTTATGTATTAACTTCGCCGTCTCACTCTGCAGCTATGGGCTTTTTATTGGCCTCTAAACATTCCGGGCGACTCTGCCGACTGATTCTTATATTGCATGACATTTTTGTTTAATTTAAACGCCATCTGGTTTTCAAGTAATATCTTTCATACATTGGCTGATTTGTTGTGTACTTTGTGAGGCAGTTTGAACGTCATCTACATTCTGGTATGGCCTTGGCAGTATCTGCTTTGTCAGTTTTCTGCATTTTCACCTACCTCAAAGGTCGTCCGGTTCATATGTCAAATTCTTCCTGAATGGCTTGATTCATTGTCTACATCTCTTGTTAGCTTCATCAGTCGCCTACAATGTTGTCCGAACCCTACGGTGTACAATTCATACGTTATCTGCGTCGTAATCTACTATGGCGCCGTCTGGTTATTATGTCAAATCTAAATAAATTGCCTTCTTCTCTGTTTACTTCGTTTGTTGTTCGCTGCGCAGGTTGTTTACTTTGTTCAGTTTAATGTGGCGTCTGAATTGCTTTTAATTTGTGTATTTCAGCCACTTAAAGCGCTGTTCTGTTTATATGTCGGATCCATAATGCATTGCTTGATTTCTTTTTTACTTCGTTTGTCGTTTCCTTTATACCCCATCTACATTATTGTCTCAATACTGTAACATCCGCTTTGTACGGCGTCTGCGTTGTGAACTACTATGAACGTCGAATAATTCCTTGGCTTTATTATAAGTTGCCTGCTTCGTTGTAAGATTGGAGTATCGTATGGTTCATGCGTTGTTTACTTTGTTGTATGGTTCCTCTTTCGCACGCTTTAAACGTTATCTATGGTGTCGTTTAGTATGAACGTCATCTCCATCACACGTTGCCTGCTTTGTTGTCTACTGGGATTTTCGAACTGTTCATACGTCGACAACATTTTTGTATGATTCATGTGACGCCTGTTCATACGTTCTCTGGGTTTTCATATACTATGAACCTCGTTCGTTTTGTACGACGCCTGCTTTATTTTAATGCCTGCATCCCTTTGCTCGAAACGCCTGTAGAGTCCCACCGAAGATGTGCTTTTTCGGCGACTTACTTCGACGTTTGGAAACTGCACTGTTCAGCTTCCGCGAGAGAGGAAGATTTTTGAGTGACGTGTCAATGCTCGACGTTTGTTTATTTCTCGCATCAACTTTTATATACGTTTACTACGGCCCTGGCTTAAAGTCCACCAGGAAAGACAATAGAATTCCAAGTAGCGCACCCACCAAAGACGCGACACTGACTCTACAAACAGGGCGGCAGGTGGAGTCTGTCGAAGAAACGAGCCTCTTTTTGAGATTGAAGTACTGGAGGGTGTGTGTTTGGAGGGGAAATTTCCATTCAAACACGGTATTTTTCCACGTTTTCTACTGAGCGTGTTTTGTTCCCTCGAGGCTACTTTGAGAAATGTCTCCTCCGTTTGTTTATCCTCCGGATTGTTTGCGGTTGGCTGCGAGTGTCAGCCTTCTTTCGGCCTTCTTTTGTATATTTTGCGCCCTTCAAGCTTTTCCTCCCCGTTGCCAGATCCGAAGGGGCCTGCTTTGTTCGTCTCACTTTAGAAACCCGTCCATTCGTGTTTTTGTTTTCTATTATGCAAGTTTATGGCGTGTTTTGAAACGCGTTTCTTTCTTCTCTTGTTACCAAAATGTTAGATAGTCTCCGTGGCATTCATGCATACATTCAGGCTTGTTTACGGTCCCTCGGGTTGTCTTATTTGCTGTCTCTCTTGCCTGGTCCTTTGTGTTAGTGTTCTCGTGTCATCCCATGTTTCGGAAAAGAGACTCGGGAGCTGTAACGCAGATATTTCTTTCTCCCTCTGTTGAACCTCGGGGAAAGGTTTGTTTCTATGCGCCGTAACACCAAAGCAAATAAAAATATCATACTGTCGCGTTTCTTTCGAGCACTCTGACACTCCCACGCGATTTCATTGAAGGGCAAACCAAATGGGAGAGACGCCTCCATCGAGTTTAAGTTTCTCTCTAAATTTTTATTATCGCTATTGCTACTTTCTTTTATTCGTATTATGGTTTGCCAAATATTCATAAAAATCGGAGCGGGAAACAGAGCTTCTGTTTTCATTTTCTGGGACTTGGAATGTTATGTGGGGAAAGTGGGTTTTGCTCCCAATCTGAGTGGAGTGAAACGGCTTGGTCGAGAACGTTCGTTTGTATTGGGATTTTATCGTTTACTTGTTTTTTGCGTTTTAATTAGATTTTTTTGTGCTTGGTTTCTGGTACCAGGCTCGTTTTGAAAAATCTACAGTACTTCGGTACCGGCGGCGTGGACGTACGCGGCCGACTAGCTCGCATTTTTGTTGACTGGTTGTGCTTTACCGCACAACCAGTCGCAATGCGGCAAAGCACGCTTGGCAGAATGTTGACAATATTTTTATTATTATATATTTATTTACTTATATACTCGGCAACTACTGCTAACCTTATTTTAGCGACCATCGCGGAGTGGTAAAACTTTTCAATTTTTAATTTTGATTAAAACTTTTGTCAGGGAAGTTTGGGGCCGTAGTCACATTTTTGAAATGACGTATAAAACAAACTGACAGAACTAAATTCCTCCTCTGCTGCACGGGTCTCAAAACCACAACCCGCGGGCGAGATGCGGCCAGCGGATGCATTCAGGCAGGCATGCGGACGCCCGCCATGTTTCCAGTAACGTCCGGCCCGCAACCCCTTGCTACTAACGCAAACCAAACGCGCGTTAGGAAAAACAAATGGCGCGGGTGAAATAATTAATGAGAACTCATAAAGATCGAGTTTTCTCACTATATCTTTTATTGCACACTGTCATAAAAAAGTTAGTATTCGTAGTCCCCCCTTTCACGTCTCTATAAACTAAGCTAAAAATCCTTTGTGTTTTCATGCATATCATGCTTACTGTCTCGTGTCCTAACTACTGCATATGGTCGTGATTAGAACTACTATTCTCGTTAGTTCTTCTGTCCTCTGTGCATATTTCTAAGTTTCTGTGTGCTTTGCTTTATGTCGGGTGAGGCTTTTAGGTCACAAGAGTTTAGTGATGTTTTAATTAGCAAGTTATTAAGTATACCTTACATATTTTTATTTTATTATTATAATCTAAAGCTTTGTATTTACATTTTAATTTAGAACTAATCCTTTGCTGTTTCCTCATTTATATTGTCTTATTAACTTTATGGCCCTTGCGACAGGGACAGGTTCATGATTCGGCCCCTTGGCCAAAAGCTTTGGAGACAACAACTCTGATGCACA